TGCTGTTCGCATCCTTTGCATCCCGTAAATTTCAACGGTTTCTGATAGTTTCGAGTTCGACTGGAACCGAGAGATCGCAGTGAGTTGCTTTATTGTTTCTTTGTTGAGTTGTAGAGATTCTCCTTCCGAAATACATCAAAGTTATTCGGTAACAATGAAGTTACATGTTCAAAATGGACAATTGCTTGCAGCATGGATTCCACCATTACTGCTGCTTTGTTGTCATTGTCAAATAAGACCCTTAAATCCATTTTTTTCATTAAGCTGTTTAAAAACAATCAGTTCGGACTACGGGATCATTACGTATAAAAGTGATAGCATGGTTCTTAGCAAATAGACGCAGCCAAGTGGCTGTCATAAGAAACGAAATTCTGCCATGTGTGATTGTTTACACTGGTGCATATCTTACCTATAGGTTAGCGTAGTTGGTCACTCCTGAGTCTTAATTTCTCAAAGCATATACTAACCGTCCAACAGTGAATAGTCAGAAAAGGATTAAGCGGAAATCATTATATTTCTGCTAGTTTTCTTACGTCACCATTTACTCTAAAGTGGTGCATACTGCTGTTTTGCCCTTTGCTTGCCCACACGAATAACCACCAAATAATTTGTTTATCAAGCGACTGCTTTACAGCTTTCTTGTCTCTCGCAAAATAGGTTGCGCAAATTTGAACACAGTAAAACTGGTGACGCTTGGTCGCATGCATGACTTGACTTCCTTACCTGGTTAGCGGGCACTGCATTTCAGCATAAGTGATGCAATTGGTGTCGACTAATTTGTCAACCTCCTTGTTGGTGCGGATACACAGTGCACCATGGTTATTGAGGTTGATTGATACCTGCTTTTCTCAGTACACTGGGTTGCTCGAAAATTGCAAATTTTGCTGTGAAGATGTGTGCTAGAACATCCGTGTAAAGTACCCATTGCAAACCTGATCACTTGGAAATGCTCATTTTCAGTAGTTCAGATCGATATTGGTTGCCTTCAGAAAAGTACACATGTGAAAATGTAAAATCCTGATAGGTTGATTCCTTAGTCCATAAACAGCAGTAAGAGTTGTGTACATACGATAGGATCTTCAAGTCAACTGCCGAAATGAGGTTCCACTACTGACACAAACCTGATTGCATCTGAGAAATATAGGTCCTTTGTTACATTTGCTCTATTACGGTGGTTGCTGAGAAACAACGGGCTAAGAATGACAGGAATAGTGAGAGACCTAGTTGCTAACCTAAATGGGATGGTCGCAACTTGACGTAGCCAGCTAGAGAGCACAGAAGGGAAATGGTGCTGGACTAACGTTTGATCTAATTGACATACATCAGCAGCGCATTTTCGCCTCCGATACGTCGGGATTTGACTTCGCAACTCTCCTCTAACCATGCCGTGACCCATACCGTTAGGTCATCAGTTACACTGACGTTGAACACGAATATGCTGCGGGGCAAAACGTGACCGGCTATATCGACACTTCCAGACTGATTGCTGCTGTGTACAGCAGAAGGTTACCCAGGTCAACTAGAATTCGTATCGCTTACTCCAGACCTGTTCTGTCTTTGGTAGCAAACCGTAAAGAACTGAATTATGAGTACCTCTGTATCGAAACGCAGTGCAGTCATACCCATGTCTGTAACCGACGGTCGCTGCATAGCAGTATTCGCAAACTGGAAGGATATTGTGAAAGCATTTATAATCAGTAAGCTTTAACTGATCAAATTAGGTCATATGGTACATTATACATGTGCCAGGTTTTCGCTCCAACAGCTCATCAAGAGCTTGGGTTCATACAAGGAGCTAAAATTGTTTGTTTCGTGTCTATAACATTAAGAACTTTCTGTAATTTTTAAAACAGGCTTGTCAGACTACAAGGATATATATAGCAACAAGATCCGCTCTGAGTAGTAGGTTCACCCGAATTGCTTTCCTGCCTTTATTTTGATAATAAAACAGCGTCACTTGCAACGGCAACTGTATGTCAATCTTGTCATTCTACAACACGTCTGGTTGTCGCAAAAACCTTCACTGTGAAGCAGCAGTTACTAGCTGACAATGAAATTCGTTTGAGCACACAAACTATGATTAAGTAATGTTCGGGAGAACTAACCGGATTCAATGGAGGATCATTTAGTATACTCGTTTTGCGATTGGATGTATACGCACTGTCTCAATGTGTGTCGCCATTCACATTGAAGTGAACTTCGGTAAATTACTTCAATGCGACCGTAACTGATGGGGCAGGTAGACATTGGGTGTTACTCCCCTGAAAACACTGCAATCCAAGACCGAGTTCAAAGTAATTTGATTTCATGTTAAAAATAGCAGTCAGAAATCTCGGAGCCAATTGGAAGTTAGGCAAAATCTCTACCCCTCTAGCACTTGTGTGTGAATGGATTTCAACGCGCGGTCTCAATGTGGACCGTGATTCTCACTGAAGGGTATCTTGCTCAGTTCGATCAAAAGAATGATTCAGAATGTTTCACTGATCTCAACAACTATTGTGACAATCGTTCAACATGCGGACAAGTTGGATAAAGGGGAAAGGTTTGCGGTAACATCTCAATGACTTCGAGTTCGACGCGCGCTGCCTGCCTGAAGTTATCGAATAAGCTCGAGACCAGTCTTAAAGTGTAGAGTTCTCAGGAGGGCAACCCCCAGTATACAGCTGCCTTTCGGGTCTATTTAACCTACGCATGCCTCGCACAAATTCCGATTGCTAGAATATTCTCTGTCAATGTTCCATTGTAGAAAGATTAACCCTTCCGCTTAGACCGTAGCGCGCAACTCAATCCTCTACTTTGTACATGATACACTTGTCATTGAAGTGGGTCCGTTAGGTTGTTAGGCTTTTACTAATGTTACTCATGAGTAGTGAGGATTTTGGAACAATGCAGCTAATACATCATAGTCAATCTCAATCAACAGGTTTAGGTTAGTCTGGAAAAAACCACTGACAAGACCCAGAAGGTGGAAAGGCCGGCGGCTGGTGCTTTGCCAGACGAGCCTGAGCCTTCTGATTAAGGATGACCATGATGAATTGGCTGAACTTGACTAATGTGTAATAACATCACAGAAGTAGCAACTCGAAAGGAATTTACTACCATGATCACGTATTACTTTCTTACAATTTTCCAAATAATACAGTCACCAGTTTATGGTCATTCATGCTGCCTGTAGGGGTTGTGTTTACACGGTAATTTATCTTCGTTTTTATCATTTCCGTTACCCATCATTTTGTACCATTTGTTTAAATGCACAAATTTTGAACACAACAATTCCTGCGCGCTCGCGTCGTGCTGCTTTCGGTTTTGCTGCTGCTTGTGATTGTGCTGCTGCCACGTCTATCCATTACTCGGATTATATGTTAGAATCGCTAGTCGGCATCGGACTAACATCGATTGAAGAAGGAACTATAACGCAAGTGCATTGATTTTCCTCTATTTTGTGCTTTTGCCTAAGATTGCACTTTGCCCCAGCACTAGAACTCAGTAGGTAACGGTCCTCTACAGCCTCTGTTGATAGACCAGGTGCGCGATTCCAGTTCAAGCTGGATAGATCCGTTCGTGCAACTCTGCATGAAGGACCTTTATAAAAAATAACATGCTGCATTGAACTACTCTGCACCTTAAACTCCACATCATGTGCCTCAGGAGTAGCATTGATTTTTCGTCCCCAGTCCCTTGCAAAATCGCCCACCGTTTGAATGGAAATTGGAGGTTCCAGCTGGAAATATTCGCATAGCCGATTTGAAAAGTCAGTTATAACGGATAAGAATATCAGAAGACGAAGATTGTGGGATGACAGTATCATTTTATGCATACTCGCCAGCCACCTATAAGCACCAACAAGGAATGAAAAACAACGTCATCTGAAAGTAATTATTGATCAGGTAGTTGATTGCATTGCATTGCACGCTACCAGTATAGTCTTAAGGTCACTGGCAGCTGTTTTTGGACACATAGTGTTGGGCGCGGTCGATCAGTAGCAATGACATTGAGCAGGTTGCGAATGTGAGGCCTATGACTAGGCTTGAGGACTATGATTGAGTCATCTCGGTTAACTTGGGGACTGGTGCTCTTCAAATGCCTCGTAATTGCGGAGGCAACTTTGCTTCTCTATTTACCGCGTACATCCGTCGTATTTTCCATCCGTCTGCGGAGCCAATTTGGAATGTGTAGGTAGATTCGAGCACCAGGATTTCAAGTAGTGCGCCCAGCATAGCTGTCACCACAGCTTTACGTGAGTTTGTATGAACAATGGGACATTCACTGCTTCGACACGGGTGTCTTCAGTGAACACTAAAGTAATGGTCATGGGGTCACAAGTAAGCGTAGCTCTGCTGCATTGTATGTCTTTTCATTGAAGTACTTATTCTTTTAGCAGTGACTCTCATGAGTTGGCCACCTTTGAAATGCCCCTCGATGAAAACCGGTTTATTTTGAACCGTTATCTCTCGATCATGTCTCATAGACTCACTGTAGCGCTTTGTGAATTACAATGAACAACTACCAGATTGTAACACAACAAACAGCAGCTATTTCTCTGCCTTCAGTGTGTCTGTGCTGCAGATCATATAAGCCCGATGGAACAAAGTTCTAACTACAGAGCGCTTGGGATGGATTGGCGAGAAACTCTTAAAATCCGCTTATTAACCTGTCCAAGTCGCGTTCCGGTAGACTGACCTTTTCATCCAATTATCTGGTGGTCGTTTGAGCAATATGTCTAAGTATGAGAGACGACTGTCCTGCTTACTTTCACATGTTACAGTAAGATTCTGATGTACACCATTGAGCGCTGTGATTGCATATTCAATATCATCATCTCAGTCCAGGATTAACAATATATTGTTACCATAGCGTTTGCGTAAAGTTGCGTACTTCGTGATGCACGAAATGACAGTGCCATCCCACAATCTTGGTTTTCTGCTATGCTTATTTCGAATTATAATGTTTCAAACTGTTAACGGAATTACAAAATGCTTTATTTGTCTCTTTATCGTAAGACGTTGGATTCTTCACAGAGCCATACGTATGGGACCTCTACTATCCTCCACGTGGACTCCGATACCACCCAAAATGGGCTCTCAACCTTGAGGCCGATCAGTGGTATGAACAAGACATTGACAACTGCATGAGTGAAATCTACTATTCAAAGTAAGATCCGAATGAATTACCCGTATTGCAGTAAACGCAACAATCACATTCATTATTGAGAATACCTGTAGCTTGGGGTGTGGATGAGAGGATTCATGTGCTCTCCGAACTGGATAATTTTGTTGCAGACGTTTCATTGTCAAGCTAGGCAACATCCGTATTGCGGCTCTTAGGGTCTGATTCGCAGAGCCTCGTAAGCCACTGCCAGACCCAAGTGAATAATGATCGGCTCCTGCTTTGAATGTCAGTCTTCAATTCGCGCACGTGGGTCGATCAAGCGGTCGCGCCTTCGTCCTGTCGATCTGGTATTTATTATTGTTATCACATACAGAGCTTCGTAGACACCAACTATTTCCAGGTGCTTGTTGTTTGAGTTCCGGCCCGAATGCCAGGCTTCGATGAACTCACGCGCTCTGCCGTTCTTCGCTCTTCCAAGTATCTTGGCGTTTCCCAGATCGAACTGATGGCTTTCGGCATTCATATGTAGTGATATTAGTGACTTTTCATCATGGCGGCGGATGGCCAGACTGTGTTCATGCAGTCTTGTACCAAGTTTCATCCCTGTCTAGCCAACGTAGTACTGAGGATGTTGCCTAGCTTGGCAATGAAGCGTCTGCAACAAAAGTACCCAGCTCGGAGAACACATCAACCCTCTCAGTCACATTCACGCCTTATTTCTACATGATTATATCAGGTCCTAAAGCATTTAACACTTTCACTGGGATAAGCAGTCAGCTCATCCCTTCTCTGGTTTACAGTTTTCATGTAGGGAAGTGAGATCCGTTTCCCCTATAAACGGCATTCTGTGGCTGATTCCAATGTCTAGTAGATCCCTACGACTGTTCGTGTTAACTGTGCTACTAACAAGAAAACAAGTAATAGGGTACAAATTGCACAAGATTCTGCTTGGCCGTAACCATAGTCCTAAAGACGGAATGTCATTTTCATCCACTCTTGTATAAGCTTCTTTCAAGTGTCTGGAATCAAATGAACTAAAAAGTCACGTATACAAATAATAAGTAGCTATCAATGGAGATTAGTCACAGCTACAAGAGGCCATGTGGCTATCATAAAACAGGTAATCAGAGGACGGCGGCTTTTACTTCTGGAGAATAGCAGTAACTGGTCTCCTTAAAGCATGTTTGATGTTTCCTTCCTGAAGCTAATGAATCCTTTGCCATCATATACCACTACAGACGGGTGAAGTTCAAGGGGCGCAGATCGAGAATATCAATGCAAAAGTCACTTGTTAATCGATCACAAATCGACAAGCAAGTTAGCGGATCACATTTGACCCAGCACCACAGTGAGGAAGTCATCTCATTTGGTGACGAAACGTTCGCATAGCAATTAAGAAACTCGACGAACAGATGAACCCAGTAACCCTACAATATTGGTGACTGCAAAACTTCCACAACAATTTATTTTGATGCGACCCTGGGAAACGTTACCACTCACACCGCTGTCGCACTAAATCGAGTTAATAAATAAATAATGAAGGAAGGAATGGTGTATTTCTCCACATTGCCAGACACAGACCGATTACGTGATCTGCTCATACTGTACAACAGAAGCACTTAGTGAAGAAACTTGTCTAAGTGTAACAATCTTTCATCTGAAGTGTTGGGAGTTTGCTACCAATTAGAAGTAGTGCAAGAATGAGCTGATAGTAAGAACAATAGTAAAAATCGTCGTCAGTTCAAGTAAAGCCATACAGCCATCCAAGGAACCGTCCGGTGGGGGTATGCTTCCATGCGGGGTAGTCCCTCGAGTGGTTTCATCCGCACTTCCAAGTCTCATCTGACCATGTGCTGTTGGGCTTTAAATCAGATAAGCCTCACTATTTGAGCTCGTTTAATTTTTTCTACCGTCACTGTTGGTTTGGTCAACTAGCCTGTTCTGGTTCAAACGATGCTATGGAGTAAACACACCAGGTAACTCAAGTTTCGCTATTACAAAATTCGGAAGCGGCGACGGTATTATGAATGGTATAATCATAGTGTAGGGATGCGGAAAGCAACGATTACGTGGAAGAGGAGAAAACCATGGAAACGGGCGAGGGAAGGAAGAGGGAAAAGCATAGTAAACGAGATCACACAGAGCAAAGTAAGCCTCACGGGACGCTTTAAACATGGGTCAGAAATGACAAGGAGTAGCATCATGCATTATTATACACGTTAGCTATAGGTGGGAAACACCTCCACTAGTGTGCCCCAATACATAGAAGAACAGGCGAAAAAATGCAACAGCCGCATGTTAGCCGAGCTACCACTAACGGATGAGCATCGTTCCCGAGAGTTAACAGCTGTCTACTATGCAGTAAAAATATTTACTATGCAACAGTATGTTAAGCTAATTAGTGAGATCTTGCTTGGAGGGTAGCTAAGAGGGGATGGGACGGGACAAAGAAACTCAGAGCAGGAACGTCATTGACGTCGGCTCCTAGCCATGTCAACAAGCGTACCCAGCCAGACGTGTTCTTCGTTTTTCGAACCCCAGGCAGGGAGGCGAGAAGCTCCGACCGAGGCCAGTTTCGTAGTGAGGGCCTTCGTTCCTCTAGACCAAGCGATCGCTTGGCCACTTCTGCTCTTGTTCCATTCACACCCGCGGCGCGCAATCAAGGCACGTCGCGGGAGCCGGTGGGCAGACATGCGTAAACGCAAGCAGTAGTGGAATTGTGTCAATAGGAAGAGAACTGGTATTGATGGAGAAATCAGTGAAGCAGACTCATAAGGTTTTGAAAAGCAGGGGATGAAAAGCAATACGAGAGGTGAATGCATTTCGGATCGTCACATCCGCACCAGTAACATTAACGAATCTGGATAGGTGTTGGACTCGGCCAGTGCCCGAGTGGCCTGCGTGTCCAGTTTGCAACCATAAGGTCCACGGTGCGAATCCGCGTAGGGGAGTGCGTCTTCGCGGTATACTCAGCCCGCGCACGACTGGTGGTGGTCACACGGCAGCCAAGGGTCGTTACGGCGTACAACTGACACACTATTATTTAGTGATTTATGTGTTGGAGATCAGACGAAACACTGGCAGGTCGTGTTGCTTGAACAGTTACTGCGTTGTTCGCCTAGCTGAGCAATTTACTTGAAAACGTTTTTTCGCCATTCTAGGTGGCCCCATAGGAGTATGAAGATAACCGGATTCTTAGCAGAGTTGGTGGTAGACAACTCCAGGTATGGGTGTCACTAGCTGTTTCTCCATTCCTAACCTAGACTTTTGAAGTCGTCTGAACGGCCGTTTCAGTCCTTTGAGATCGTCAGCAGTGCGCTTTTCACCTGACACATAAGAAGCACTAATCCGCAACTGAACTATTGCCAGTCCATTGTCGAGAACAATTAGGCAAGGAGGACAGTAACGACCGTCATGGATAAATTACCGGATGTGATATAGTGCTGCTCAAAACCTACTGACTTTCACGTTACTGCCGTACAGAGGACAAGATAACCTTTTTACCGAGCGACGGAGTCACGAAATTTAAGCTAACTATTAGGTTATGTCCATTCAATTAGCAAGCGAACAATTGGGAAGTAATTTCTTTTCGATACATCTCGTCAGGCTCGTACAGTCATGAAGCAGATAACCGAAACTTACGAAGAACTGTCACTAGCTATACACAAATAAAAGTATGTCAGATAATAGGAGGAACAATACACCTACATCGTCGCTTAAGGCAGGCCGATTAACACACGCTGCCGCTTTGTTTGGGTGTGTGTGTTCAACTGCGAGTCCATTGATCGCTGAACCTGACAGTCTGCGCGTAACGACTTCCATCTACCTCCATCGGCCTCTACCGCCTGACCTTGGTGCGCTTGAACAACGCACAATTCCTGTGCGTGTTCTGACTTGTTTGAGAGTCACCATTGGCGCAAAGAACACTCATCAAGGTGAGCGTTTAGATAGTCCTTACTGTAAACAATAAGAGGACGATTAGCATTCCAATGGTTCAACGTCGCCTATGTTGCGCAGACAATTGCACTATAGTCCTTAAGATCAGTGTTACCGGTTCTAGCTGCATTAGATCGTACTGTCCTCGATGTGTAGGCAAATCCTTCCAAGAAGTGAGAGCGACAAACCAAATTGCTGATACAACTTGGTTTTGCCCAAGATGTCAAGTCATTCCAATTGTCAATTGTTTATCTTTGCTCATGAAAAAGTGCGGTAGTATTGTAGCGAAAAACAACACGACAGAGGGGTAGGCGTTTATTGCACACCGAAAATGGGCACATCCGGGTCTCGCGCGCGCCATCGAATATCGACTAGATTTCCGTCCCACAACGCAACACAGGTACGGATGTTAGAGAGGAGCCAGTCCTTTCGCCTCGGGAGCTCTGACTTGGAAGATCCGCCTTCCTGTTTTCGCCTCGATCCCCACTTCTCTGTACCCGATTTGGATCGGCCAGGAGTCGTTCGAGAGCTCTCGACTTGCTTGTTCTGGGCTGTGTCAATCGGCTCGGCGTCGGTCCTGTGGGCTACGCTAGCGGCGTATATGTCTGATTTATTGCGCTGTCCACATATTCCCGCTCCGTAGTTCCGGGCCCAAGCTCGTCGCTAGACGTCCTTCTCGATCCGCTCTCAGCTAGCTCCGAAGAGCTCCCCCGAGGCATTCTTGGAAGCGGCCCCTCTACAGTATGACTGCGATAATCGCGCATTGTGTAAATACTAAGATCGATCCCACGGAGGTAAATATAGGCACGATAATGCCTCACCCAGCCAAACTAAGCTCCGAATCTAAGCCGAAGAAGAGAGCTAGACGCTCCAACCGCACTGCAGCGTCTGTGACTCTAAATCCACTGGGTTACCTCACTCCTATAAGTGGACAAGCCTCAAACATGCCTGCTTCCACTTCTCCAAACATAGACGCTTCACTTGCAGATTCAGGCACGACACTGACAGCTCAGAGCCGAAGGAAATCCGGTGCAGATAACAACCAGGTAACCTACGCAACGATTGCCTCGACAAACACACCGGGAGCGACACACGTAGGTCCATCTTCAGTATCCAGCACGCGTGGCGCAAAGCAGCTTTCACCGTCAACTCCAATGGTGCTTTCTAAACCACCGGAATTGCCGGCAAAAGCTATAAAGCCAACATTCACTAGACAAATCCACGCTGCGTTAACTCTCATGTACACCAATGTTTCCGAATCAAAAGCTGGCAAAAGTAAAGGCAAGTTGCACGGACAGCGCAACCAGCGCAGTTCCATCTGCGAGGCGATTGGTATTCGGGTTGAGCCTGCAATGCTGCAACGCATAGCGCGTCACCCGACAGTGCACCCTGATGAACCTCGAAGTCTTCGATTAACACTAGACTTAGCAGATGAGACAGAGGCTGTCCTGCTCTCAGCAATTCGTCTTCGCAACTCACCGAGCAGAGTGTCCATATTAATTGATCTACTTTGGAAAGGTCGCCCAAAAGAAGCAGTTGAGCAACACGGCTTTCCTAATAGGGATAGCAAGAAAACAATACTTGTTCATGGTGTTCCCGAGCTTCTGCATTCTTCTGATCACGATGCACAAACACATGACCAAAAGCAGTGGTGCTACATCCGCGAAGCACTCTCTGTTGACAATGTTATTGCCAAATCCCTGACAAGAGTTCCGTCATCACCTAACTACAAGGGCTTCGGTCCAAAGCTAATGAAAGTAATACTACAATCCGAGGGAATGACGCAAGTTCTGTTGGATAGCTGGTTAAAGTTTCGAGAGATGTTGCCAACCGAGATCCGGCTAAAGGCAGCAGGCGAACGGCCAAAATTTGGAAGCCATGTTGATAGAACTTGCAAACGCTACAACTTCATTATTTGCACAGTCCTGCGGAGAGACCGACGCAACAGCGCCCACGGCAGACAACAGAACAGAGCACTGCACGTGTGAAACATATGTTCAGGAACGCTCAATCATACCATACAACATGACTGAAAAACATAAACCAAAAAACGATTAATGGCCGGCCACCTAATGGCCGACTTAAAAACTAACGCAAGTTGACATCCGTGAACGCACTCCTAACTACTAAAGCCCTATCTTGCATGTACACAAACGCCCAAGGCCTTCTAAGCAATTTGGCCGAACTTGGAGAACTCCATGCCTCACAACCGCGGGACCTCGTCATGAATACAGCGAAATGGTTAAACCTTGAGATAACCGATTCTGAGATCAATTTACCCGGTATGTCGCTGCTTCGGACGGATAGAACCGGAAGGGTGACGGTGTTATTCTTTACTATAATACAAGCCTCCGATGTGAAGTAATCGTTCACCTGGAAATCCGAGCTCCCGATTCGCTTTGGTGACGCCTATGGTTGCGAAACAAGGACACATGTCTACTAGCCGTGATTTCTAGTCCACCAAACTCAACGTCGAAAATGGACTCCAAACTGAACCACGCTTTTGAGTTTGCTTTGAACAAGTCCCACACCCACACTCTTATCGCTGGAGACTTTAACATGCACGACATAGAAACGCCGACAACCGACGGTACGTAGTTTAAAGCCTGTTTGCAGTGCTAATTGCTAGCCACCCTCTCAACAACCACGTAAGCTCTCCCACCAGATTTCGAACTGCCAACAAGCCGTCAATACTGGATCATGTGCTAACTAACGAAGAACTCATGGTTGACGGGATAGTTACAAGCACACCAATGGGTCGTAGTGATCATCTTACTCTACACTTTGACTATATATGCTATGCGGAGTACCCTGAAAAGGCGGGTGATAAAGTGCATAATATCAAGCACCATAATGTGTTATCTGAGTTTATTAAGGATACGTTTTGGAGTTTCTTAACCGAATGCTCCTTAGATGTTGCCTTGGAAACCTTTACAAGGACGTTTAGCACACTGGTTGCGCACGCATCGGAACAGAAGTCCTTCCAACACAAAAACAAGCATAAGTCATTTATGAGGAGCAGAACACGCAAATGTATGTCCCGAAGGGATTTGGTATGGCGAGATCACAAGGACTGCTCGAATGCCGAAACATGGACTGTATACTTGACACATCGTAACTTCTGTGTCAAACTGATCCGCGAAGACAAGGACTTAATGAAGCGATTCTGCACGAACCGAAAACTTTTTACAGGCGCGTTAACGGCTTTGGAAAGGCGAAGCGGGGGATTCCAGCACTAGTCACGGCTGATGGGTGCACACGATCAGCAATGGAAGCAGCTGATCTCCTACGGTTTCATTACTCCCAAACTTTCCAGCAGATAAGGAGCCCAAACATTCTCCCCACTTCTAATACTCCAACATCTGGTTTAAAAAACATCACCTTCACTGCGGTAGCTTTGTTGAAGAACTTGTTATGCTTGCGTATTCACCATTCTCCTGGAATCGACAACATCCGAGCAAAGGCTCTGCAGTCGGTAGCTAGGGATCTAGCAGAACCACTAGCTGTTTTCTATCAGCGATGTCTAGAACAGAACCATATTCCACCAGTATGGAAGCCAGAGGTCATCACTCCTATCCATAAAGGAGGTAACCGCACTGATCCTGCCAACTACCGTCCAATAACACTAATTCCCGTACTATCTAAACTGATGGAATCAATTATCGCAGATGCGCTGACGCAGTATCTGGAAAGCCACAACTTAATAGCTCCACAGTAACTTGGCTTTCGTCAAAAGCATTCGTGTAATACTACCCTATTAATTGCACGTAATAGCTGGACTGAAGCTGTTGATGATGGAGTGGGAGTCGATGTCATCTACCTGGACTTCTCCAAAGCGTTTGATCGCTTAGACCAGCGAGTTCCCTTTCAGAAGCTTCGGAACTACGGCATTGGCGACCCAATCCTGAGATGGATTAGCAAGTTTCTACACGAACGACTACTAGCGGTGAGAGTCCGAGAATCATTGTCCGATGCAATCGATGTGGCGTGTGGAGTACTACAAGGCTCGGTTCTTAGACCTTGTCTATTCTTTCTGTTCATTAACGATTTGGTGAGGTCAATTGCTTCCGATTTCCTACTTTCAATTAATGATCTCAAGGTATGGCGAAGGATCAGAGGACCGGACGACCACGAACGGTGTCGAACTGGTCAGTTCAAAAAGCCCTACCATTCAACGTAGACAAATGTCGCGTCGTACAATTAAGCCACAGACATAACTACACCTATGTACTTGGGACAAACGGATTGCAGACCAGCTCCCAGGAACGTGACCATGGTGTGCTCGTACAGAGTGACCTCAACTGTTTTGAACAGGCTGAGGTAGGTGCGAAAAGAGGCAACCAGCACGTCGGTATGCTGCGAGGAACATTCGACAGATTTTATCCATCAATCTTCCCAATGATGCACAATTCCTACGTGCGCCTGCATGTTGAATACGCTGTCCAAGCTTGGCAACCTTGGTTGAAGCGCGACCTAGAAGCGATAGAGGCACCACAACGAAGAGTAACAAAGCATGTAAAGGGCCTGTGCTATCACTCTTACCACTGAAGGCTGAATTTGCTGGGAATTTTCAGCGGACGCTATCGAAGGCTGCGCGGCGATCTCATTTTAGCTTATGAGATACCAAGTGAACCCAACCACGTATGCTGCCATTTGCTGAAACTTAGCCACAAAGCGCAGCTCAGGGTTAACTGCTTAAAATTGAAGGAACAATATAGCCGTCTAGTGCCGACGGAATTACTTTTCCCTTCGGGTTTGCCAACCCTGGAACGCACTCCCAGACGCAGCTGTATCTTCCCCTACCTTGGACGTTTTTAGGAAACTATTAGATGTTGCTCTTAGCTCCCGGCATTTTGTTACCCAAACTCCACTATTGTGGATTACACCAAGCATGCTTTTTAACAGGATTTATGTATCAAATGGACCCAAGTGAGCGACCATATTTTACTTTTCTCACGCGCTACATCAACGTCCACTGCACCCCAGTGTCTTTCTGAGCGTTTAAGCTCGATTTTTTAAATTTTACTATGATGTAATTTATCGAAGTATTTTGCTTTCATCATATTCACCCCAACCATCCTACGGGACCTGTCAAGCACTTGCTTTTATGCCGTGATAAATCATTGTTCATTGTTCATAATAGTCCATTTGCGGGTTCCTGCCTCATGGGGCTCAGACGGAGGTAGTAACTATCTAATACTTGGCTGTACTAGAACTGCTTATTTGACTGAGTTTATATATGAGAGCTTTCAATTCAACTATATGCCTGTATACCACACTGACTTTTTTCTCACTGATAGTGATTTAAAAGATAACATAGTAATTCAGGCAGAGTTTCAGGTTATGGGGTTTACAAAAATATCGTCCAGCCATGGGTACTAGTGACCACATCTTTTATGTAAGCTCATAATGTTTAAGAATTGAACTAAAGAGCGCACACAAAATACGTTTTCCCTATGAATTCGCAACATGTTTGTGAAGTATAATGCTTCTGGTTTGACTACCGGCCACGATATTATTGTAAGTCCACGCGATATCCTGTAACGCAATCCTCGCTTAATGGACACTCGGATTTATGTGCTCATGTTTGTAAATGTCCAGCCCACACGCATCGCTTTCATTCACTTACAGCCTGCCAATTACCGATTTATACTACAATCCTTTTTGGCTTGCATGTCAATTCCCATTTTTAATCCCCACTCTTCAGATATCCTGAATGTCGCATAACAAGTCAGTGCTGGCTGAATGGCACACGAGCTGCAATGTCCAGCTACAGTGTTTCTCATCAGCTGATCTATCTACTGATCGGTGCATCTGTAAGTGATTAATATGTAAGTAATGAACTATGCTAACCGCGCACTAAGTCCTGGTGGTGTTTATAAGAGAGTGCAATGCTCTCATCGAGATGACCTTCAAGGAGAATGACACAAGTGACCCTCCTGCCCATTGCCTCAATTCTTTTATTGGATAAAACAGCAAAAGTGTCTACTGACTACATTTTTAACTCGGATTAGCCAAACGTTTCCGGTTTTATTTGCTGAAATCTTCTTAGAGTTATAAGTTAAAGGAACATTTCGCTCACAGGATCTACCATACCAACAGGTTACGGAGACACAGAAAACAGTTTTAATGGTGCTACCAAAATAGTTATACTTAACATGTTCAGCTCCACGTATCCAATCGTTAACACAGAGTCTGTGATCAAGTTGCACCACAGCCGTGTTCTCTCGCACTGAGGATTTTCCTGAGTCAATCGAAGAAGTACGTCTGTCAGCGCAAGTTCCCGGAACAAAATGCTTTCTTCCCAGTGTGCACCTATCGGATGCTGATGCAGCTGCCAAGATAAGTGAAGTAATCAACCACCTCGAGTTCCTCGTTAACAAGGGTCAAGGGGTCGTAAATTGGCTGGTGGTCCTGCATCAACGCTTTGCAGTTTGAAGGTGCAAAGCGCATACCAAATAATGGGACCACTCTAGACAAGCTATTCAGGATTGTTTGTGCCACCGAAACATCCTCGAAAAGCAGGACGATATTGTCCGCATAATCGAGATCAACTAACCTTTCACCAGGCAGCACCTCAACGCTTACATCGTAAGATTCCCCAAGGGAACACTCCATGATAGAATCCACAACGAAATTGAACAAAAATGGGGAATTTGGACAACCCTGACGAACGTCACTTGTGGTCGGCAAGCTATCCGATAGGCCACCGTAGACCCTGACGCGGCCTCTAGAGTTCGAGTAAAGAGCTCATAGGATGTTCACCTATTTCGTGGGAACACCTTTCCGCGCAAGTATTTCGAACAGAATCGATCGATCGACTGAATCGAACGCACTCTTGAAATTAAGGAACGCAGCTATTGTCGGTCTGCGGTGTGCGTGGCGCTGCTCTAGCACCTGCCGCAAAGTGAATATATGGTCTATACAGCCACGCGCTGGGCGGAAACCTGCCTGCTCTTCCTTAATCCCAGATACTTGTTCCGCAGTGAGGCGACGAACGAGAATCGAAGCCAGTAATTTTGTCACAACTAGCGTTAGGCTAATACCTCTGTGGTTAGAACAGTCTGTGCGACTGCCCTTCTTGTATATTGCCAGTATAATCAATTCGTTCCAATCAGCCGGGACACTCTCTTCCATCCAGGTACGTTTGCCTAGGGAGGTCAGGGTTTTGCAGAGGACCTTGTCTCCACCCTTAAATAGTGCAAGTGGGAGGGAATCCGGGCCGACGGCAGGAAAACCATTGAGGGCTTTGATCGCGTTTTGGACCTCGGCCTCCGACGGAGGCTCTAAACTAACCGTCCATGGCTCATCCTGCATCACCTGAGTAAGAAGAGGTCCGGGAGCAAGGGGCCAGCTGAACTGATCTTTAAAGTGTTCCGCCAAACGAGCCATACGGCGCTCCCTATTGTGTATCAGTGCACTCGCTCGGTCTCTGATTGTCTCACTGACCCTTGGTTTCCTGGGACCAGTGATTCGGATCAGCTGGAAGAGCTTGCGGTAATTGCCTACTGCTCCTGCCTCCTCCATTTCTTGAGACCTACTAGTCCACCAGGTTGTCTTGTCAGCACGTAGGCTCCGCTTTAGTTCACGCCTAATAGGCCTTCTGGTCACATTGGACTCAGAGCCAGCCGGGAGGTGTCTTCTAGATTCCAACAGGTTCACCGACCTCTGATCTCCAGTGACTGGTGCGGTGACCATTGATAGTGCCAAAAGTAGATGCTTGTTGTTCGTGATGGCGACCGAGATCCTATTCCACTGAAGCACGGTGTCATTAGGACAAGACAGCGGAAGCTCGGTATGCAATGCTTCTTGATAGGCTTGCCCGATCGAGGACTGAGACAAACTCTCAGTTGCCAATCGGAGGGGGCGCTTGGTGCGCCTCCCGGTAAAGTTCATGGAGAAACGACAGCGTACCAAGGCATGATCAGAGTCGACACAGGTACTCCAGTACGAGCGGCAATCCAAGATGGAACCACGCCGCCTGTAACCTAAGGCTATGTAGTCAATTTGCGTCCATCGCTCGCCAGCTACGGGGGACGCCAAGTGCGACTTCGGCGCCCACTGTGTCTAAAAGCAGTGCCACTAAGAAACAACTGGTGCTCAGCACACAGTTGCAATGATTGTACGGATGAGCATTACGTTGCTGGTATACAATGCTTCGCCATTTTGAAGCAAGGGGCAGTGACTATATTTAGTGAACAGTCATAACCGCCACTTCACAGTGTTGGTAAACGAATATTTGTGGACTTTTATGGGGAGAACACTTGCCAAGCGAAGCCCACCACGTCCTGGAACACTACCTGTGATCTATTCGCTAGAATGGGGTAAACTCGAAACACTCAGCTGGCACCACGACGAGGTTGTTCGGCAGATTTACCCTGCACCTTGGTATACTCAGGGTAAATTCCTTATTGATTAGCACCCTTGTCAAACAATGTTATCGTTCTAGGAAGGGCAATAGAAGTGGGCGTTTTGATGAATCATGTTGTACAGAAGCATCAGGTTATGTCTCAACCTTCGTAGGGAAAGCTGATCGATCTGGATTTGTTGGCAGCGTTCCCGATAGTTCTTATTGGATCTATTGCCTAGCAGAGGTTCGGTAAATCACCTATGTATGCTTTCCAGAGATATTCTGTCAGATTTCCTCATGCTACCACAAATGATGCTGCAGTATTCCAAAATGAGGTGAATGAGTAAATTGAAGAGTTCTATCTGACTGGGGTTATATGGATCTTATACAGAAAATTAGTCCTTGATTTTCTGGCACTAGCCAGCTGGTAGTTCACTTGCTCCTAAAAGCTGATGGTGCAAGAATACCTGATTCCGAGATCGCGGGTAGACAGCTGTACACAAAGGTATTCGCCATTGGGTGTAATTGATCTCTCAAGTATCGAACAGCCGCGATACGTTATGCTAGATTTTATCGCCGAGAACTTTATCATTCAGGTATCACACCATTTCTCAAGGGAGTGAAAGTCTTCCTGTATGTGTAATAGTGTATCTTGAAGTTCAGCTCGTCGGAATTTGTAGACTCTTTTATGTCACCTGCACTTAGGAAAGGCATGCCATGTTTGATAATCGCACTAATGTCATTGACGCAGAGCAAGAACAGTAACGGACTAAGTACACTCCCTTGAATAATACCACTAGTGATTGGAAGCGGTGAAGAGTGGTGGTCGGCTATGGTAACTAGCTGAGAACAGCCGCTCAAGTATGACAATAGCCAGCCTAGGAGTGGGTCCTGAATTCCATAGGAAGCAATCTTTTGCAACAGCCGTTTGTGAGGCATTCGAGCGAATGCCTTCCCCATGTCCGGGAACAGAAGTATGATTGTGTATCCTGATTCAATAGAATCCGCAACATGGTTTAGATAAAGTAATTGACAAGTTATTCACGATCGTTTGTTCAAGAAACCATGCTGTGACCTGTTTAGTAGCTCCGACCAATTGATGAATTATATCACACCATTCTTAACCAGTTTCTCTAATATTCTGGCTACTACAGGTGTGTGATGGATTGGCCGGTAATTGTTAGTTTCTTGTTTGGTGCCACCCTTGTAACGGGGAATGATGAGCGATGTTTTCCACTGGTCTGGAAAGTAGCTTGATTCAAATGAAAGGGTAAACCTGTTCAGCAATAGTAACGGCATATCAAGTCCTCCCAGGTTTATAACGGCAGGTGGGATACCATCGGAATCCAGATGGGAAGACGGTTTAGTAGAATTCAATAAACGTTACATAGCAATGATAGAAAATTCCTTGTTACACAGGGCATGCATTTAACGGGATCGTCTCCAGGCTCATGGAGGTAGCGAAAGATGAGCTAAATGCTTCGCAGATGTCGGCTGAATCATGAAGGGACGGTCCGTCTGCATTAGCCAGTCCATCGATAAACGGAAAATGGTAATTAGTACTGCGATGTAGAATTTTAACAAGTTCTTTCGTTTTACATGTCGCTGGTAGATCCGGTTGTACTTCGTGTATCTTCTTGGTCAACTGTATGTGCTTGACCCAGTCAATGATGTTGTGCAACTGTATCCAGCAATTAGTCTTCTGTGTTTCCGGCTGACTGAACACACGATCGCGTCTTTTTGGACACATGTGATCCCCTTGTCTTAGGGAACAAGGACAGCAACGACCTGATGGAACCGATGGTAGAAATAGTTCAAGGCAGAGTATATATTGTTAGACAGCAAGGATGCGTCCCAATCGGATGACTGGATAAATTGTTGGAATTGGTTCCAGTTTATCCTATGGGATACATATTGCGCAATAAAAGCTTGTGTTGGTGGCCCGTTTGGCGCAGAAAGTGAATCGTAACATCTTGTGGTCACTACCAGAGTGTTTGTCTGATACCCCTGTTTGTGCACTCGTGACCCCCAAATTTAAATGAGGTCGTATACTGGCCGCTCTTGTTGGTTCAGTAACCCATTGTATTTAGCCGCCAATTCTGATACACGAAAGCTGTCTGTGTAGACTAGGAAGGTTGAGAGGACCAGTTAATCTTTGGTAGGTTAACATCACCAGCAATTATCTTCTGTCTGTGTGGCATCTCAGCAGCAAACTCGAAAGCTGAAGTGATGATGGTAACACTCGCAGTTGACGCACTTGGCGCGTTGTAAACACGTCCGAGTAAAGTGTGAGAACCGGTTCCTGAGACGGACAACCAAAGCGATTGGTTAGTTGTGGATGATCAAGAAGTTCTGTTGCAAATGTACAGTGTAGGTAATTCATGCATACACCACCTTTGTCTGTTTCGCGATTTTTTCGGAAAAGCTGGTTATTACTAATCTTTAAGGTAGTGTCTAAGGTATCACGGGAGCAGCACGTTTCAGTAACGAGGATGGTTTGTGGGTCGTTGATATGCGCAAGCATGCCTAGGAAGTACTAGTGGTTATTAATGGATCTTTCAATAAGTAGAAGTGCAGAAAACGGTCTACCGGGTGTGCGGTCATCGTGTTGCGGTTCACTTTTATACGAGTTGCTGTAGTCAGCTATTATGGACGCAGGAGTGGAGGTAGTGGGGTCGAGTCTATTCTCAACAGGCGTGGAGATATGTGCAATATGTCATTTATGATTGCCGATATTGCTGTGCACATGGAGGTGTTTGACTGAGCAAGTCTAATTTGCGGTTGGCGGGACAGTTGACTGGCCTAGTCCTGTGCAACAATTTCAGGAACAGTGGGAACAGTAGTTGGCTTCTGCAGGGTATGTAAGCAGTGGGAATGGCCGCGCCTCCATTCTTTCGTGTACTTAAAATGGTCTTACTGGGGGGGGGGACTGGGAAGGGCTGCACACATATGAGACGGGATGGGAGGTGGCCTTGTCTTCGTGACATAGTTTATTCTAACATTACTGTGCCTGGTTTTGTGGTATGGAAGGGAGTTATGGCGAGGAGTATCCAAAAGACTTTCGTTTCTGGTTTTTATCAGCACAGGATATCGCTTTATATAGTGTTTATGTGATGTATGCTGGTAGAGCTTATTAGTTTCTACCGTCTTCATCACAGGCTTAAATCTTTCCTTGGAACCGGTGAGTGGATGCAGGTTTTCTACATTATTAGATTGCCTGTCTTTGGGGGTCCTCTAGACGTTGAGTACAGCTTGCGACACAGCTATAGGGTCCTTGATAGTCAGGTCTTCCTGATGGTTAGCAGTTACTTCATCCTTTATGAAGAGTGAATTCAATTCAGATGGTTCACAGACGTCGAGATTGAGCAGGCAGTAGTTAGTAGTTATGTGACATTGCAGTATCGTCAGGAACAGTGTTGATCGAGGTCTTTATCATATGAGGTGAGCTGTCGAGATCCACTTCAAAGTGTCCAGTTGCCACATTAGAGAAATTTTCTGTTTGTGCTTTGGTATGAGAATACTTAACCCAAATATCCATTTGGGGTAGTTATGGTGAAGAAATATCATTAAAGGATCTTTGGAAAGCAGTGCGATTTGGTTTCATCAATAGGCCTTTGAAGTAAGTTCACTGGGCTATGGTGAGCTGATTACTCAACAATCGGTTGGCGGATCCCTCCGTTGAAAATTTAAAAATGATGCGGCAGCTGTGTTTAGGTGATTTCTCTTGCGGACGAAGGCATTTGCATCCAATCTCGGAAATATTGCAGGCTGTAAGCATTGCCGTTTTAACTTTACCCAATCTAAGTCTATCACGAATGTTAAAGAGGAGCACGTTTTTAGTCTATGCATTCGTTCATGTACCTCAGACGCAAATGAGGCGATTGACTGTTCTGTCTTTCCAATTTGCGCTGGATCAAAGCATTCCCATGGGTTACTGAGATAGTCTAATGAAGCCAGGTGATCTCGGATTGGTTCGACGATGGTCAATATCTTTTTAATCTCCGAGATTTGGGGTTCCAAGGGGTTGACCTTATCACTCAGTTCTGAAAGAAGAGTAGCAATGAGATCAGGACTGGCTCGCAGTTTCGTCGGTGCCTCAGTTTTCGTTGGCATTGTTCGGGCGGTGTATGAAACACTGCTTTTGGCTTGTCAGGTGAGGCAATGCTTTGTGGATGCCATAATAAAGTGAACTGTACTGATGAGAAGCCTAGATGAAGTAGCTAGGGAACGTTGATGAAAATAAACGGCTCAATCAAGATGTTAAGAGCTTGAGCTACGGGAAAATGTCAGTGCACAAATAAGCGAATGCGATACAAACCAAACAGTTTTCAGTTTTGCGCTATCGCATCAGTAGAAGCTGGTTCCGGCTGATTTTACTTCAAATAAATCCAGACATTTGCACTTGTCGAGGTTGGTCGTTGATGCTAGTTCCGCCTGAGGTCACGTGGCTGCTCCACACAGGTTAGCTTATTGTAGAATAAATCTACGCTGGCGGACACCGACGGCAGTTAGGCCAATCAATGCCATCTCTGAAAGTAGGCGGAGAATATTCACCAAATTTGCACGTATTGTGAAAGACCGCAGGAGAAAAACATTGGCGCAAATTTCACACAGAAAGAACACGTGTTACACAGTAGTCCGGAAGCAAAATTGGAGTCCAGCACTGTAGTTCGGAACTCCGCGGCGTCCGTGGGCATAGCCACTGTGGGCGGGGTTCAGTCCGAAACCAACAGACTGTAGAAGGAAAAATGATCTTCACCACAGGTTGTTAACGGTCGGGTGGCGAATTCGAGCCACACAGGTGCCAGATACAACGTGCACTGCTGATGAAAACAAAAATGACGAACTGGCCTTGTGGTACTTTTCAATAATGTGATGACTGTCTGATTAAGTCCAGATGTGTTGTACATCTCCTTGCTTTATAATGAATTTGTTTGTCAGGATGAACTTCTTGCTTACGATGTACCAAACGGTTTGTTTGCTGTAGGATTACTTTAACATTTAGAAGAAGCGCGTAGCGTTCTGCGTACTTGTATAACTAAAGTAACCTCTCATTGAGAGCTGGCATCCTCTTACTTGGAATGTACACACTCAACAGGGACAGCAACTTGAGTCTTGGTCAAAGTAGGAGAAAGTACCGGAACGTAGCCCACAGAACACCACGGTTTGATTCCCCTGGAAGCATTTTAGAAATGTAGCCGATTGATACACGAGGCCTACTGGTTCGAATCAGCTTAGATAAGGGCGACCTCGCAGTTACCGAGAATGTCGCGATTGAGGCAATCGCGTAGCATACATCTGCTGTCGTTATACTGGTTGAGTACCTCATGCATCTTCGGTGCTCCCGCGGTTTTATCAATATTATGTCATCACATGTCGCCATTTCATCATAATGGTTTTCGAGCGACTTTCCAACCACCTTCCATTGTGCCATTATGCACAGTCCGAGTGTGCGGGCTCTTTGGAACAGCGGCTTCGTAGCGAAATTCCACCGGTCACGTTGGGCGGGCTGATGCACACCATGTGCGGCCGAATGAAAGTGGAAACTGAAACAATAGCGAACGCTGGATTCCCTGACTCGTTTCCAGACTTGTTGATGGAACAAAGTACGTGTATTTTTGTCCCCACTTCATTCCCAGTTCATTTAAAATGCATGTTGGTAAGAGAAATACTTGTGTACATAAGATCTGGTTTGGTAATCTAGCCGTGACGTTTACCTAACGCAGTGTTGGCTACCAATAACCATACATCGGAGAAGATGGAATAAAGCCAATAAAATGGCATTTTTCAGAAATCTACTTGTCGGTGTGAGTGAGAGCGTAGGCGTCAGTTTTTCTTTAATGAACAATGAACAATGATTTATGGCGGGTAAAAAAGCAGGTGCTTGACATGTCCCGTAGGGTGGATAGCGTGACAAAAAGATAGCGAAGGGATAATGGAGTTGTCAGTTCGGGCGCTTACAGATGTAACTGCATTTTCGTATAAAGGGAGTTTGAAACGAGAATGTACGCACACAAAGCAACAGGGGAGTGGTTACTGTTCACATCATAGGACAGAAAAATTAAAAAAAACGATAGCAAGGACAACGCTTACTTGTGTGCGATTATCTTCGGTCGACAGGATACAGAAATCCAGTTTCTATAGTAGTAGCGTTTATCAAATTTCGTGCAAGGCGTTTGGAGTGACTCGTTCTCGAGTAGGGTTATGGCACTATCCCCTGTCTGTTGTGCATTAGTGCCAGCATCTGGTGGTCATGAGCTATAGCACGTAGTGTACATGTGACAGGGTATCGTCAAGGCGCTTTTTGAAACGGGATAGGGTGGGTGCATTAATTACATGTTCGGGGAGGGCGTTCCAAGGCTGTGCCACTCGAAGAGAGAAATAGTTTCGCCGACATTCCAGGCGGCTGTACTGCGTGACTAACTTAAACTGGTGACCTCTTAGAGAGATGTTTTGACTGAGTATTAGAAGGGAATGGCATGGGTGGTTGGGGTCTCTCAGGATTAGGTACACCATTATGAGATCGCCCCTTAGCCGCCGATAACGTCCACTGTAGATTTTAAGGGTTTTCAGCCTGAGTGGGTAGGGTGGCTGGTTAAATCTCTGGGTTCTTCGGTGCCCTAGGTTGTGCAGTATTGAGCGCACTGAGATGCTTCCTAAGCCAGGGTTGCCACGCTTGAGTTAGCGTATTCCGCGTGCGGCCTCACGTACGCGCTAAGCATTTTTGGAAAGATCATAGGGTCAAACTTCCCGAAGGCTCTGCGAAGAAGGCCGAGGTACTGGTTTGCTTTCTTAGCTGCCTTTTCAGTCTGCCTCAAACAACCGAGGTCATATTGAACTATCACGCCGAGATCGCACTCGTGAGAAGCCCGCTGTAGAATTTGTGATCCTAGGCGGTAGCTGTGCAAACTCTTGTGCCGTATACTGAGAACCTTGCACTTGGTGACATTGAAATGCAGCATGTTCTCTATGGACCATGTGTACGCTTTGTCCAGGTCCTCCTGTAAGAATGTGTGATCCTCCACTGCAGCTATAGTGTGCCATACCTTTAGGTCATCAGCAAATAGCAAGCAGTTAGAAGACAGCACACTCGCGAGATCATTTATGAAGACCAGGAACAGGCGGGGTCCAAGTACCGAGCCTTGAGGTACGCCGCACTGAACTTCGATGGATTCTGATAGGTTGCTCCTAACCCTAACGTTCAGGTGACGTTGTAGGAGAAAGTCTCCTATCCAGCCCAGAACGGGATCGCTGATTCCATATTTCTGGAGTTTGTGGAGGAGAATGCGATGGTCTATGCGGTCGAATGCCTTTGAGAAATCCAAGTAGGCCGCGTCGATTCCAACACCAGCGTCCACAGATTCCGTCCAGTTTGCACGAGCAATCAAGAGATTAGTTGCACAGGAGCGATTTCTGCGAAATCCATGCTGTTCCGGAACGAGAATTTGGTTGTTCTCCAGGTACTCCATTAAAGCCTCAGCTACAATGGACTCCATAACCTTGGAGATCACAGGAAGGAGTGTTATCGGGCGATAATTTGCTGGATCAGCACGACTGCCACTTTTATAGATTAGCGTGATGATTCCGTGCTTCCACATCGTGGGGACGTGCATCTCGTTCATACATCGTTGCAAGAAAATTGCTAATGGTCCTGCCAAACTCATGGCAGCAACTTTCAACGCCTTCGGTCGAATGCCGTCCGCACCCGGGGAGCTGAACTCGCGCAGAGACATCAGCCTCTTCAGTACAGCTGCGGAGGTAAACGATATGTGGTTTAGCCCTGATGGCGGCGTTATCTGCTTAGGCAGGATGTACGGTGATTGCTCGCTTTGGAAGGTACGGCCAAATTGTTGTCCAAGGACGTTGGCTGCCTCTTGTGCGGTTTGGGCTAAGCCGCATGCTGTGTGCAGGGCAGGAATACCGCGCTTAACACGGCGCAAATTGTTTACGTGTCTGTATAGCAGCTTGGGATTGGAGCTAAACTTTTCCGCTAGACTTTGTTGGTTCTTAAGTTTATCCTCTCGAACGAGTTTGACACAGTGGTTCCTGTGTATTGTGTAGACATCCCAGGTATGATCGTTCGGGGAGGCTATATAGGTATGCCATGCCAAGTCCCTTAATGTCATGCACTTACGTGTCCTGCTCCTTACGAAAGACTTCATCCTTTTGGTCCGGTAGCGTTTGGTTTCAGATGTCCGTGCCACGAGCTTGGTGAATATGTTGACGAATTCACCGCAGACCCCTTAGGCGTTAATTAAGCTAAGAACGACCAGCTGGTTGCATCAGTTAGGTCGGACAGGTCTTCATAGTTGGTTACGACACGATATTCCTCGGCATGCTCTTTACGATAATCCGCGTAGCACATGTAATGAAACAATAGCGTCGCATGATCACTGCGGCCCAAAGGAGTATCGGTTATCACTCTCTCGACCATTAATTCTTCATTGGTGAATATTCGGTCCAAAATGGATGGCCTGTCAGTACCCCTGAATCTGGTGGGCGTAGTGATGTGGCCATAAAGAGGGTAGTCTGAAACCAGATCTTGCAAATCCGCTTTGAATTACTCTCCTGGTGTGGCCTGGGATTCGAGGGCATGTAAGTTGAAGTCACCGGTGATTAGAATGTGACTGTACGTTCTGTTTATCACGTGCTTCAACGCAGCCATCAAATTGCAGTCCATCTCAGGAGTAGACGATGGTGGGCGGTAAACAACAATCTATAGGCCAAGATCGTTCCCTCTCAGTCGGAAAGTACACCAAATTGCGTCAGGTAAGTCGGTTTCCGAATCGTTTATGCATTCGCATTGCATGTTGTTACGAAAATAAATGGCTACCCCACAACCTTTGCTGGTTCGATCATTCCGGACAACAGACATGCCCGTTAGTGCAATTTCAGCATCGGTTATCTCGCAGCCCACCCACGTTTCGGTGACAGCGATGAGGTCCCAAGCTGCAGACGCGTGTCGAAGTCTTAATTCAGCTAATTTGCTGAGTAGACCTTGGGCATTTGTGTACATGCATGAGAGATTCTCGGAGACCAAAAGTGTGTTAGATTGGATGGATGAAGCAAATGAGTTTACGCCGACCATTAAAGGGTCGGCAGCTAATCCTTTTTTGGATGGGTTGCATACTCTCGAGAAGTATTTGATATATAAGCAGGTATCAGATGCTTCGAATCCCGGTGTTTGCTCGTGCTCTGCTGTGCCCCTCCGGATAGTATGGCTACTCTTGAAACCGTCCCCGAGTCGGGTCCTGCAGTTGGCGTTTTCACTAAGTGTTGTGCCTCTACTGAATTGTCATTAAAAGGTGTTGGTGTTCCTGCTGCTTTCAGACGAATTTCTGTTGGCAATCTGCAACGGAATTTAACCCAGTTCGCTAGTACGGTTTGTGCCATTAGTTCTGACTGTAACACAAGTTGTAAGAGCCTGGGACCGCACCCTTTATAATTTGGTGATATGGAGATCCTTGTCATCGAGGTGACCACCACATTTTCGAGAGAAAGAACCTCCCGGATGTAGTGCCATTGCTCGCGGTCGTGCGTCTGGGCATCGTCGGAAGAGGAGTCAGTAAGCTCAGGAACACCGTGAGCAATCACTGTTTTCTTATTTTGACTTATTCTGTACCTCTCTTTGTTAGCGGGATCCCCTGAACGTTCTTTCCACGGGATTTCGGGTAGTATGCGCACTCCACTTGAGTCGTTGCGGAGACGATTCGCAGACAGCAGAACGGCCTCAGTCTCGTCTGCTGAGTTTAGTGTTACCCGAAGTAACCGGGGTTCGCCGTAGTGCAACGCGTTTGGGTGGCGCGAGATTCTTCTTAATTTCGTGGGATTAGCATGGACACCGATCGACGTACAGATGGAACCCCACTGATTTCGATCGTCCGTCAACTTACCCTTAATTGCATTGGATTTGGATTCGGGGACAGTAGTGCATACAATGTTTAGGACACCATAGTTGTGCCTGGTGGCTACTGGTTTTGGATTTGGAGGCTTAGTATCTGGTGTTTTTGTTGAATTTGTGAAAGGCATTGGTGTGTGCCATCCGTGCTGCGCCACTTTAGTTTTCTCTAGTCCGGGCACAAAGGTTACCGGTGCTCTTTCTGGTGTTTGCTTGGCGGCAACCGATGCGTACGTTGCCGGGTTGTTCACCTTTTCTGGTTGACTGTAGCTTACAGTCTCGAGTGTAGCGAACAGACTACTAGGTGCAGCACACAGTACAGAAGTTGAGGCAGGCGCGCTGCAGGCACTGTTTTTACTTATAGGAGGGAGAGAGAATGGAGTTGATACTACTGGAGGCTGAGTCGTTTGGGTTGGGTTGGGACGCCTGGCTCGCTTCTTCGGCCTGACAAGGGAGTTTGGGGTGTTATTTTCACTCACAAGTGCAGGCCCGTTCCATCCCATGGGTGTAACTCTGGCGCTCACCAGTTGCTCGACCGCTTCGGTTAGTCTTTCACACCTCTTCAGTAGCACAGATAGACAGCTAACAAATGGAATAGACTCGCATACTTGGCAGAACCAAAACGCCTCTGCGGTGTTTGCTTTCGTGGACCCCTTCCCAAGGCAGGTAGTGTGGCAGGTTTTCAAACACATGGTACACACCAGACCACTTTTTACCACTTTGGCACATGATTCGCATTTGCTCTTCATACGAGACATGTTCTCAGTAGGGGTAGGAAGAGGATGGAGGTACTGACGCACCGTTGCGTGGCGCTCGGCGCTGGTTTGAGGTCAGCAGGTCCAGGCGTGTCGAGGCCAGATGAATCACGCGTTCTTTGGGGTGGATGTGCGTGCTATCGATCCAGACGGTAGAGGGTAGGCAGTGGTGGGACGTAGGACTGAGGCAAAGCTAGGTGACTTGGAAAATACTGTCTAATGACGACAGTGGCAGTTCCAAGGGCGGATCAAATTGACGACTATCGCTTTGTAGAGCGACTTGAAGGAATGGTAGTAAGCTGATCGGGTGACTCTCAAAAAGATCTTTAAATTAAGACCACAAGAGTTCTTATGCGACGAGAGGAAAAATAAAACATCCGATAAACTTCAAATACGGTTGACTTCGAAGTTGCAAAAGCACAGTTTACTGGTGATCCGTGAATGATAGATCCAATAGATGAACAGTGGTAGGAGGAGCTCGCGAAGCCCAATCGAATGATGGCACGTAGGTCTCTGTGAGTATAAATCCAAAGATTTGGAGGTGGACAACGCAGGAGGACAGTATTTTTGCGACCGCACGTGACAGATGTCCTGTTCAAAGTACCAGGTTAGGGGATGGACCCAAACAGCCTACCAACAGTTCAACTAAAGACATAGTTTTCCGAATAGCGCTTATTGCGGCGATGACGTCCCAGTGGCCGAGGCGATATCACTGTATGTGTATAACTGTTATAACGCTGTGCCCGCTCTCGCCTGGTTGATTCACGCCTGTTGCTAAACCTGCGTCCTTACGCGTGCTCTGATTGACGCCTTGGCAAACCCGACCGGAACGAAGACAGAATAATACTCAGCAGACCAGAATTATATTAGGGTAGAGAACGCTCATATTTATATGTCGGTGTTACCAGGCGGATTTGGCTCTAAGTCCACGCTCCATACATACTTGTCCGCTGCGTCTGTCCAGTTCACCGTGTTGCTCGGGTACTCGCCTGCCCGGTGCATGGCAACGCACGTGATGTCTGACGCGCGATTTAATCAGCTTCCGGTCAGGCCTTGGCAACACGCCTGGTGTCTGACGCGCGATCTCATCAGCTTTCGGCTGGGCCCTGGTAACACGCTCGTAGGGTCCTTCCCAAGCACGACTGGTGGTAAACGCGCGAGCTTTGGCTCCCAGCTTTCTCGCCCAGCTGTCAATAACTAGGCGGATAAACTTCAACAAATAGCAATGCAGGCGGTTAGATAGAATATGATTTAGGAGCCGTTCAACTTGGTTTATTTAAGCCACTAAGTTTAGACCAACGACAGGATGCAGCATAGATCTACCATGTACATCGTAAAACCAAGTACTTCAAAAAAAATTTACCGTCGCATCACAAAAGCAGTATACTGATGTGGATTCATTGCAATTGAATACGAGTCATGTATAATTGCTTCCTTCCAGCCCTATGCTATAATACTGAGCAAAGTGATTACAGCGCGCACTGTTTCTCGTTCAGTTTCTGTGCTTGCTCGCATACATAAAAGAATAGAAAACTAAGCACTGTAATGGAACCTGGATGTACATATAATTATGTTTCGTTATGCTATGATTAGGAAGCCATCGACCATCTGCCGTGGGCTGAAATTTAAGGGAAAAGCTTGGTATTCGATGTGTTGACACTAATACCCAAGATTATTGGCTACAGCTCATGTCAAATGCTTGGCCGTAGGCAAAGGTTCATGTTTCCTTTGTCAATCATTTACACTGCCTTCACATTTACATTTCTCTTAAAGTTGCTGTTTGTGGAGCAGTCGGATTTTTGGAGCTGAGCAAACCGGAATGGTTGGACATTATCATAAGCTGGCAGGCAGACAATGGCTGCTACCACAAGTTCAAAGAAGAAGAAGATATTCCGTCAGAGAATTTTGCCCCGGAGCAATATGGCAACTACCGGCGGCGAAGAAAAAGATGTGAGAGCATAATGTCAGGCGGAGGAGAAGGTTGTTTAGCGCATCGCACATCGGTTGCCATAGGAGCACTTGTTTCATACACAATCTTGTTCATAGAAGCCGCATACGGACTTGGTCGGTCATTGGTATCTTGAACCTGTTCTATTACTCCGCTTGTCAATTATAAAGCATTCCAGATCACGAAGAACAGTGGAATTTCTGACAATTTGTGCCGGATGTACTTTTATGTAGTTGCCACACAGCCGACAAATCGCTGCATGGTCATTCCATCCTGTCAAAAAGAGCAAGTGATGCACATACAAACCTATTGTTCTGCAAATCGAGTCGGAGACTGCACTGTCTGTGTTTAGCGCCTTATCCCATTAGGGTATATCTGACGGTGGTGGCAAATTGATATCCGTTAGCGATGAAGAATTTGAAGCAAAGTTGAAACCATTTAAAATATCTGACTCTTAAAAAGTTAAGCTACAAGTTTGGCCTATTGTTCGCTTCCGTCGTGTTTCCTCAGAATCTCTGACTGATCCTGTAGAAACATGGAAGTTTGCCTATTAATAGTTGTTTTATAATCGTGTGCTGCCTCGTGGCCTCAGTAGACTTCATCTAACCCGTGACAATTGGAAACCCAGCTACTAGTCGATTATCCTACACAGAGCAGCACACACTCCAGCTATAACTACTCGCCGAAACGCATTAGAAAATGAGGAATAAGAGATAACACTTATGTTTCAGCCAATACCGAAGACTGAAAAGACCAAAAGCCATCGACTTCCTTACGTCATCTACTTTAATAACATGCCTTTCGGGGTCATGATGCGTTTATTAATAGTTGCTCACCTTCTTTCGTGTGAGGAATAGCGTGGACAGGCCTGTTGGCACAGTATATCCTGTTCTGACTTTTGTGGGAAGGATGCGCTGAATGTAAAGAACAGCTAAAATATTTCACTATCGTGGTTCATCTCTATCGTAGGCTCTTCACCTGTCTTATAGTCTAACTGGAACGCCTCATTTATTTTATTCTGTTTGTTCTAAACATGGTCTATTGAAACATCCGAAACAGCGAAATACTAAAACGCCTACGATAAATCGAAAGATTGGTAGCCTGGATGGAATGTTCCGTTTTTCTTCGAGCAATTTGCTTGCAAACGCTTCTTTATCAGTCGAGGTTATATCATTCGTGCGAGGAAGCATCAGGTCTCGGATCAGAACTTGGTAGAAGATAAATCCGTGTGTGGATGTTGCAATGTTTACTTGATAACCGAGCTTGACGATTCGTTTGCAGGTATTTCGCCACTTATCGTGGATACATTAATAATAATAATAATAATATTATTATTATTAATATTATTATTATCAGGTTGGCGTGCAACATGGAGCTTTGAAGCAAATCTATTACAAAGATACACTATGCATGTCATTCCGATTAAGGAATAAATGTCTGCAAGTAACTTGCCCAATTCGACGAATAAATTAAAATCGTGCTCTGATACTTAACTGTTGCATCGAATGTCGAAATAGCCCTCCGAAAATCAGCACTAAGACTGGTCAGCGATCCAAATCGGTTATCAAAGAACACATTGTCACCTACCAATGTATATACATTTTAATTATTATTCACTGAAACACACTTCTATGGCTGCATCCTTCCGGCCATCAGCCTGAGTTGATTGGCTCGCGCTCACCCTTCGTAGAAGTTTGGATCACACCTGATCTGGTTCAATCTGTCGTTGCGACGTTCAACAGGTTGTTGGATCGACGGCGCTGATTGGCTTTCCAAGTGCTGGCTGTCTGTTTTTCTCCCTCGGCTTTCATCACGTGATGCGCCGTCTACTTCAAGTCAGTGTCGCGTTCGTGCAACTCGCTTGATTAGACAGGCAAAAAGCATGCCTGACTGACAGCGGTGCAACCCACTCCTCGCTTGCTCACTCTGCTCGTGTAAACGTGAGCAACTTGGGCTCGTGGTGTCGGTTGGCTTTCCCGCCTGCTAGCTTCGCATAAAGTTCGTTCATGTGCCTTGCCAGCTACCACCACACCGAACGCCTGCGGAAACTAATAGATAGATAAATAAATGCTATATGCTCGAGAGTGCGAAGCACGCCTGCATAGACATGATCATGAAAAATCTCATGAAAGATCAGTAAATATACAGCAATCTTGCAAGTTTAATAGTAACATTGAACCTATGTGTGTATAGATGAGAACCTTTTCACAAAATATATCTGCTGACTTCTTGAAGCTATCGTGAATTTGTTCGTAACCAATTTATTTTATACCCTCATTTAGTGAAGAGTTAAGTCATCATGTCTGTATGTATTATTCGCTTTATTTGGTTTGATATCTTCGTCTCAAGTGATTTGCTGCTGGTTGAAATCCACGGTGTGGCTGCGCTTAATGTGCATGTTGACAATGTGTCTACCTGTCTATTACCCACTACCTCTTCCATACTGGCTCCAGGATACAATTGGTCGTTGCACGGTCCTTGTGTCCATGCTAGGCTCGAACAGTGGTTCCATGCGCCTAGTGTGGAGGGGACTATGGTCCAGCCACCGCCTTGTGAGCGCTTGATCCCCAAATACAGCGGGCTTGTGTTTGCCTGTGAAGGAGTGTGGGCCGGCTCCGTTGATGAAACGCGGCTCCCATCCGCATGCCTCCCGGTCTTATTCCTTCGGTTAAACACTGAATATGGGGTGTGTGGTTGGAGCTGTGGGCAGACGCAGACGTCCCGTGGCTGGCCACAGTGATAGACAAATCCGAAACCGGATGTCGCCAATCATATGTGAGACTGAGACTGAGACTGTATTTAGGAGCAAGTAGAAAGGTTTCTGTACAACTCTATCGAATTACGAAAAATCAAAAACATTTAGTTGTGAATCATCAGTAGTTGTGTCTGGTCCGTTAATCGTTAATCGTTTATTCTTGTTCGGTTAGGAATTTGTACTAGTGTCATTATTTCCGGGCATAAAATGTCTTCTTCTGGCATTGTATGTGCATCGTTTCACAAAAGCACAGTTTTCCGAAATAACCTTCGATACGGGTTTTAAAACACTTCACAGAATCGGCCTCTATTAATCCTTCGGGTAGTGTATTCCATAAAGTTACGATTCTTCGTTCGATACAAAGCTGATGTGATACTTTGTTCATGTTGGGGACCCTGAGTTTGTAACGGTGTCCTCGGGTGTTACAAGGTTCCCGCAGGTGAAATATTGGCCGAAGTACGGGGTAGTGATTTAAGTGTAGCACTCGATGGGTCATAATAAGGTCAATTCTTACTCGGCGATAGGATAGTGTGTAGAGTCCGAACCTTTCACAACGTTTTTCATACGGAAGCTTTTGTAGACTCGGTATCATTCTAGTTGCGATATGCTGTATTTTTTCCAGCTTTTCAGTTTCCCATTGGGTTATCGGATGGTAAGCTGGGGCACCGTATTCAAGGATTGGTCTAATGAGCAAGGTGAATAGACGAGGGACGGTTTCTTCGGACCATGTGGAGAAACTGCGTCGTAATGCCCAGAGCATACGAAGTCCCGCACGGTACAGTTTCTCTGTATTTTCTAGTGATCTCATATCATGTCGTGAGAGAACTCCTAAGTCTCTGACAGATGTGTTGGGATGGAGCAACTGGCCGTCCAAGGTGTATGATCGAGTGGCTGGACGTCTGGGGATACTGATGAATTCCGACTTGCTTGCGTTAAGAGGGAGTTGCATTTCAGTGGACCACGTTGACAGTCGCTCTAAGTCATGCGGGAGGCGAGCGCAGTCGTCCTGGTTCTCAATGATCCTCCAGATTTTCAAATCATCTGCAAACAGGGCGCATGGTGACTGGAGCTGCTGGGGAAAATCGTTGATATGAATAATAAATAATACTGGCCCAAGTACAGTTCCTTGAGGCACGCCACTAGTCGATGGGGACCAGTCTGTCAAGTAGTCATTAACCTGTACTCTAAACTTTCGTCCCACAATAAACTCGTGTAACCACGGAAGTAACGTGCCACCGATTCCGTATGTCCTCAGTTTACCAAGGAGTACCTTGTGGTTCACTCTGTCAAACGCCTTACTAAAGTCCATGTACACCACGTCAACATCCTTCCGTTCGTTGAGAGCTCGTACCCACTGGTGGTTTGCGTACATCAAGTTGGTGATGCAGGATCGCCCTTTCGTAAAGCCGTGTTGCGCTGGCGTCAATACGTCCATCGATTCGAAGAACGATAGCAGACACTTTTTCACAACCTTCTCGAGCACTTTGGATAATACCGAAGTCAAACAGATCGGTCTATAATTCTCTAGTTTACTCGGGTCACCACCCTTGTGAAGCGGTCTCACTATCGAGCATTTCCAGTCGTTCGGTACACATCCTTCAGAGAACGATTTATTGAAAAGTTTTGTCACGGCTGGTGAGATGATAATCGATCGGGACTTGAGTATTAATGGGTGAAGTCCGTCTGGTCCGGGGGCTTTGCACCATCGAGGTTGACGAGTAGCTGGTACACTTCGACTACATCACATTGTAGGTTATCGAGCAAGACTGGCGCAACCTGTGTCGATACTGGAACAGCCACTGTTTTACTGGAAATTACGGTGAGAAAGTGTGTAACCAAGGCGTCCACGCTCGCCGCGCTTGAAATGTGCGTCTTTCCGTCTAAGCTCTCTAAGACCGTTAGGTCGCCCCCAGGTTTCAGTTGATGTTTCAAGTAGGCAAATATTCTTTTGGGTACAGTTGTGGCCGAGGATGCTAGCTCCTCTTCGAACTGCCGGCGTTTCTTGATCTTTGCGGCGTTACATAAGGTACGCTGTTTCTTGTACACCGTGTAATCTTTATCACAACCCGAGCTGATGTATCCATCCCAAAGTTTGCGACGCCGTCGCGCTAACTGTCTATATTCTGTAGCAAACCAATGCGGGTTGACAGGTCCGATGTTTGAATACTTAAGGGGAACAAACCGAGTACAGAGCGAGTTAAGCTTCCCCTTCATTAATGACCAACAGGCCTCAAGTGACGCATCCTGTGGTAGTGTCCAACCAGTCTGACTTGCAGCTTCGACGAGCCCGTTGAAGTCCGTCTTCCAATAGTTGAATGTCGGCTTCCGTTAATTGTATTATGGTAACGACAGTTCTAAGCTTGCCACAATGGAGCAGTGGTCGCTGTTCGCCAAAGGTTCAAGGACTCTGGTCTCGTTCAGCTTCTGCTCGCAGCTCGTAAACATTAGATCCAGACAAGATGCCGAGTGCGGAGTTACGCGC